TTTTTTTTTTGAGACAGAGTCTCGCTTGTTGCCCAGGCTAGAGTGAGTGCCGTGGCGTCAGCCTAGCTCACAGCAACCTCAAACTCCTGGGCTCAAGTAATCCTTCTGCCTCACCCTCCCGAGTAGCTGGGACTACAGGCATGCACCCCCATGCCCGGCTAATTTTATATATATATATTAGTTGGCCAATTAATTTCTTTCTATTTATAGTAGAGACGGGGGTTTGCTCTTGCTCAGGCTGGTTCAAACTCTAGTACTGGCTGGTCCGAAGGTAATGAGTTATCTCACGTGACTGTTCACGGTCAGTTGCAGATTGAACTCCTTGTTCTACTATTTTCCCCCCTCCTCACTACTGCACTTGACTAGTCTTAAAAAAAAAAAAAAAAAAAGAAGATAAGTACTATTGACAATTGAGAATCTGACCCAGGATACTCAAGTTGAATAGGAAACTAGAAATTAGGGAGAGATCATTATTTTTTACACAGCTGTAGTGAGATATAATTCACATAACCATATGATTCACCCATTGAAATATACAATTCAATGGTTTTTATTACACTGACAGAATGGTGCAACCAATCACCATAATCAATTTTAGAACACTTTCATACCCCCCAAAAAGCCATTAGCAGTCACTCCCCATTCTACCCAAAACTCCAGTCCTATGCAACCATTTATCTTATTTTCTGTCTCTATGCCTATTCTGGATATTTTATATACACGAATTCATACAATATATGGTCTTTTGAGCTGGGTGTGGTGGTGTGTGCTTGTAAGTCTCAGCTACTTGGAGGCTAAGATAGGAGGATCACTTAAGCCCAGGAGTTTGGAGCTGCAGTGAGCTATGACTACACCACTGCACTCCAGCCTGGGTGATGGAACGAGACCCCCATCTCTCTCTTAAAAAAAAATGGTCCTTTGTGTTTGGCTTCTCTCACTCAGTATAATGTTTTCAAGGTTCATCCATGATGTGATATGTATCAGTACTTCATTCCTTTCTTATTGCTGAAGAATGTTCCACTGTACAAATATGCTACATTTTATCTATCCCTTCTCATCACCTGGTGGGCATTTGGGTTGTTTCCAGTTTTTGGCTATTAAGAATAATTCTTTTTCCTGTCCAGAACTCCCAAAAATAAAATAAGAAAAAAAAAAATATATATATATAAAAAGAATAATTCTTTTGCCAGGCACCGTGGCTCATACCAGTAATCCTAGCACTCTGGGAGGCCGAGGCGGGAGGATTGCTTGAGCTCGGGAATTCAAGACCAGCCTGAGCAACAGTGAGACTCCAGCTCTACTAAAAACAGAAAAATTAGCCAGGTAGGGTGGCGCGTGTCTATAGTCTCAGATACTCAGGAGGCCCAGACAAGAGGATTCTTGAGCCTAGAGTTTGAGATTGCAGTGATATATGATGACACCACTGCACTCTACCCAGTGTGACAGAGCAAGACACTGTCTCAAGAAAAAAAAGAAAAAGAAAGAATCATGCACAAGTTTTTATGTGAATGTATGTCTTCACTTCTCTTAGATACATATCTAGAAGCCAAATTACTGGGTTTACGGCAATTCCTGTTTTACTTTTTAATGAACCATCAGACTGTTCAAACCGGCTGTACCATTTTACATTTCCACCAGCAATATCCCCATCCTTACTGACTTTTTTTTTTTTTTTGAGACAGAGTCTCACTCTGTTGCCTGGGCTAGGAGTGCAGTAGCATCCAGCCTAGTCACAGCACCTCCAACTCCTGGCAAGCATCCTTCTGCTCAGCCTCCTGAGTATGATGGACTACAGGCATACACATACCATGGCCCAAGCTGTTTTTTCTATATATTTTATTGGCCAATTATTTCTATTTGGTAAAGACAGGGTCTCACTCTTGCTCAGGCTGGTCTAGAACTCCCGACCTTGAGCAATCCTCTAGCCTCAGCCTCCCAGAGTGCTAGAATTACAGGCTGTGCCCCACCACTTACTGACTTTTTGATTCCAACCATCCTGGTGGGTATGAAGTAGTATTTCAGCTCTGTTTTGTTTTTTTATTTCAGCATATACAGGTTACAAATGTTTAGGTTCATACTATTGCTTTTTCCACCCAGTCAAGCTTCAAGGTGTCCATTCCCAAAACAGTACACACCGAATCCAATTAGTGTGGTATATCCCACATCATTCCCCTCCCATCGTGCGACTCCCCAATAAATGTTAACTATTCTATTGCACTGGTTGACAGTTATACCATTTGATGGAGTAACATGCGGTCGGTTTTCCATTCTTGTGATAGACTAGCTCCGCTTCCGTCTTCTACATCACCATGTTGTGCTGAGTAAACATGGTAGTACACATGTCGTATTTTACCATCTTCCACGCGTAGTTGATTGTATTCCTATGACAAAATGATTTTAAACCATCTTTAACGCTTATTGCCATTTGCATAACTTCTTTGGAGAAAATACTATATTCAAAGACCTGCCCATTTTAAAATAGGTTTTTTCTTCTTTTTGAAAGATCTTTGCTCTTTAGCTGGTTAGAGTGCAGGTTAACAGCATAGCTCACTGCAACTCAACTCTTGGCCTCAAGTGATCTCAAACTGTCTCAGCCTCTCAAGTACGGGGATTATACTGAGAAGCCACCAACAAATACTCACCTAGATTTTTAAGTATTTTTAGAAGAATGAGTCTTGCTAGTTCCTAGGCTCCTAACTTGCCTCAAGTGATCTCCTACCTCCCAGCCTCCCCAAGTGTGGGATTACAGGTAAGCTACGGTGCCCAGCTAATGGGTTGTTAATATTAAGTTATAAAATTTTTAATATTTCAATATATATTGGATATGTCCCTTATCAGATATGAGTTGTAAAATTTTTCTCCCATTCTATACATTTTTATCATTTTCTTGATGGCATCATTTGCACCAACTTTTATTAACTAATTACATTTTTCTTTTATTGCTATCTTTGGGGAGTTTACTCCCAGGGTAACAATTTCAATGAAGAAAAAGATGTGAATACGCTAATAAAGGTAGGAGCAAAGCAAAGAAAAATTACTTTAGCATGCTAACACAAACTTCAAAAATGAAATCAAATGCCCAGACTTGAACCATTTTTAATTAAAGTTTTTAAGCCATTCTCAATTTTGAGGAATTTACGTTAAACAAAACCAACTGAATGAAAAGAGCACACTGATGCAGGTTGACCATATTACACAGTAGAATGTGGAAACTAGAATCAGAAAACCTGAGAATGACCCTGCTTTGGGAATCTGTAAGTCCTTTCATGGGACTCTTGTCTAAAATAGTTTAAAATTTCTAACCCATTCACCTAAAAGAGCTATTGTAAGGCTTACATGAAATAATGTGTATAAGAGCACTTAATCCTTCTGTATGGTTTAATTACTTAGGCTCTCCTGTTTGGTACCAAATACTATAGTTACTCATGCTGGATGGGTCAGAATATATTAATAATAACAGAGATTTTTCATCACATGTACCAAGATTCATAATTTATAATATTCATCTGTTTTGCCTGTACAGTAATCCTTGTAAAATAAAAGGGCCTTGCTTTGAATCTTAAGAATTTAGCGGAACAGATAAAATATTCTTATGAAAAGTCAGAAAAAATAATTTATATACAAGCTAATCTATTTCATATTCATTTTGGTCTTAATTTATATACTTTTCTTACACAAATGTTTCCAAGTATGCTCATTTTTTTAAAAATTGCTAAATGTTACAATTGTTTGTAAATTTGGTTTTATGTCATGAAGCATAGTATTCAAATATCCCATTTAAAAAAAGTTAAAAGACACTATGAGAGCTAAGCGAGGTGGCTCACACCTGTAATCCCAGCACTTTGGAAGGCCAAAGTGGGAGGATTCTTTGACACCAGGAGCTCAAGATCAGCTTAGGTACATAGCGAGACCCCATCTCTATAAAAAATTAAAAATTAGCCAGGTGTGATGGTACACACCTGTCGTCCCAGCTGCTTGGGAGGCTGAAGCAATGGGATCGCTTGAGCCCAAGAGTTTGAGGTTGCAGTGAGCTATCATCATCCAACTGTACTCTAGCTGGGTGACAAAGTGATTATTTTTGTCTACAAAAATAATAATAAATTAATTTTTAAAAACTTTTAAAAGATAGTATGGGGGAAAGTTATGTTGAGAAAAAGTAGAACATAAGGAAAATTACAATCCAATTTTTGTAATTAAGATCTTATAAATTAGACAGGATTAAACAGATAAACTGGACATTAAAAATAAATTATACCTGCTTTCACAATTATGAGCCCATATAAAGACAGTCAGACACAGACACACACACTATCTTTAGTCTTACTTCTCTTACTCCAAGAACAATAGCCAGTTGTAGGCCGGGCGTGGTGGCTCACGCCTGTAATCCTAGCACTCCGGGAGGCTGAGGCGGGCAGACTGCTCGAGGTCAGGAGTTCGAAACCTGCCTGAGCAAGAGTGAGACCCCGTCTCTACTTTAAATAGAAAGAAATTAATTGGCCAACTAATATATATAGAAAAAATTAGCTGGGCATGGTGGCACATGACTATAGTCCCAGCTACTCGGGAGGCTGAGGCAGCAGGATTGCTTGAGCCCAGGAGATTGAGGTTGCTGTGAGCTAGGCTGATGCCACGGCACTCTAGCCTGGGCAACAAAACAAGACTCTGTCTCAAAAAAAAGCCAGTTGTACATAAAAGCTCAAGTATTTTACTCCAGGAAAATATCCAGAAGAGATGAAAGACAGGTAGGAAGGGACAAGAACAAACTACACAGACAATGCCTGGTAGAAGATGTTCAAAATGTAATGAACACCACAGAAAATGATGGCATGGACACAGAACTGCTTTTTTCATGGGTAACTTAAGGGTAAACTCTGCCTCTTTCCTATAGCATATTTATCTCTTCACACAAAGTAACCTTAGGAGATATATATTTTATCTGTCTCAGATTCCCTAGAGACAGACTGTTCTATTTTACTTCTCTATTCCTTTGAAATACTTACTGTCATCTCCAACAGGACCTGCTGAACATTGTGCTGGGGGATCCCGTGCCAGATCATTCAATTCCTTAAGAAAGAAAAAAGGAAATTTATTCAACATAAATGTAACTTTTATCCATCAATAAAATTTATACTGTTACCAATATTCTCTGTCCTACTGGTAAAGTTCTTTTAGAAGCATTCCTTCATAGTCAGAGAGAAGTAGACTTAAGTTAAGAATCTTTAACTTAAAGTATTTTGGATTTCTTCGGTGTAAATGAATGTATTTAAAAGTGAGTCACGGGCGGGGCGTGGTGGCTCACAACTGTAATCCTAGCACTCTGGAAGGCCGAGGAGGGTGGATTGCTCAAGGTCAGGAGTTCAAAACCAGCCTGAGCAAGACCCTGTCTCTACTAAAAATAGAAAGAAATTAATTGACCAACTAAAAATATATATACAATAAATTAGCCGGGCATAGTGGCACATGCCTGTAGTCCCAGCTACTCGGGAGGCTGAGGCAGGAGGAGCCCAGGAGTTTGAGCCCAGGAGTTTGAGGTTGCTGTGAGCTAGGCTGACGCCATGGCACTCACTCTAGCCTGGGCAACAAAGTAAGGTAAACGAGTATCATGTACTAATTTTGTGAGCAACAAAAATGTTTTTTGTTGTTTTTTTTTGAGACAGAGTCTCACTTTGTTGCTCAGGCTAGAGTGAGTGCCGTGGCATCAGCTTAATTCACAGCAACCTCAATTTCCTGGGCTCAAGTGATCCTACTGCCTCAGTCTCCTGAGTAGCTGGGACTACAGGCATGCGCCACCATGCCCGACTAATTTTTTCTATATATTTTGAGTTGGTCAATTAGTTTCCTTCTATTTTTTTAGTAGAGACAGGGTCTCGCTCAGGCTGGTTTTGAACTCCTGACCTTAAGCAATCCACCCGCCTCGGCCTCCCAGAGTGCTAGGATTACAGGCATGAGCCACTGTGCCTGGCCAACAAAAATATTTCAAGGTAAAAATTTCATTGTTATTTTTCAAAAAAGATTCAAGGCCAATTTTTGTACCTTAAAACAATTATGTTATACTTGGAATAAGCTCTTGAAGTCATAAATGTTCCAGAATTATATTAGACCATCTGACAAGATGTTGATATGTTTTCAGCTGATGTTTGCTACCAGGGTCCCAAAGGTAATAGAAGAAACTTTGAAAGAGTATGTTTTAAAAGGCTGCCTGAAGTAATAAAACTCACCATAAAGCTTTCTAGTCAGAGACTGATCGACCTGTAATAATGCTCTATAATCAGATGTCAGCTTCTTAGCTATTTTAACATAAGAGCCCAGAAACTTGAGACTTGTTATTGGGTAGAGATGCCTGAAAATCACAAGGCAGGAAATCATACTATATTCCATTTTCCCTCAGCTTGGTTTTTGAGATAAAAACAAGTTCTGGGGAAAGACTAGTTCTAGATTACATTTTAAAACTACAACAGTTATTAACAGTAAAGTCTATTAGTTTTTAAATGCCATAAAAACTATTAAGACCTATAAATGAATTTTATAAAGGTGTGTGTTTTTTGTTGTTTATTTATTTATTTTTTTTTTTGAGACAGAGTCTCACTTTATTGCCCAGGCTAGAGTGAGTGCCATGGCGTCAGCCTGGCTCACAGCAACCTCAATCTCCTGGGCTCAGCGATCCTACTGCCTCAGCCTCCCGAGTAGCTGGGACTACAGGCACGAGCCACCATGCCCGGCTAATTTTTTGTATATATATTTTTAGTTGGTCAATTAATTTCTTTTCTATTTTTGGTAGAGACGGGGTCTCGCTCAGGCTGGTTTCGAACTCCTGACCTTGAGCGATCCGCCGCCTCGGCCTCCCAAAGTGCTAGGATTACAGGCGTGAGCCACCGCGCCCGGCCTGTTGTTTATTTTTGAGACAGAGTCTTACCCGGTTGCCTGGACCAGAGTGCCGTGGTGTCAACCTAGCTCACAGCAACCTCTAACTCCTGGGCTCAAAGCAATCCTTCTGCCTCAGCCTCTTAAGTAGCTGGGACTACAGGCATGCACCACCATGCCCATATATTTTTCAAATATATAGAAAAAATGTAATTTTTTCTATATATTTTTAGTTGGCCAATTAATTTCTTTCTATTTTTAGTACAGACGGGGTCTCGCTCTTGCTCAGGCTGGCTTCAAACTCCTGACTTTGAGCGATCCTCCTGCCTCAGCCTCCTAGAGTGCTAGGATTACAGGTTTCAGCCACTGCACCCGGCCTAAAAGTGTGTTTTTAAATGTATTTTTTAATTGGCAGTACAAATTGTTTTCTATAAATCCCTTCCTCAGAGTTAAGTTATTCAACCAGTCATTTTAGTATAGCAATTATACGGTTTTATCTTATTTGTAAAGTTTGTATCTCTTTATATATACATAAATTCCTTGAATGACAGACAAGGTATATCATATTCTTCATTGCATTGCCTAGAGACTAGAATTTAAGAGGCACTCAAATGTCTGAAGGAGTGGGTAAATGCCTACCACACACAGCACCAAGCAGAATTGGTACTGAAACACAAATGGGAAGACAAATAAAAGCACATAAACAATTTCCAAAAGAAGTCCAGTCCATTCAGCCTAATCACCTGCTGTGTCAAGAAACAGAAAGTCAGTCTACAATGAGATACAGAATATATTAAGATTTAATTATTGAACCTGAATGAAAAAGGCATTTTGGAGTAAAACTAAACACCAGAGAACAAGGAATCTCTTTGAGCACTTCAGCAGCAACAATTTAGATAGAAATGTTCAGCTATAAAGACAATACAATCATTCATGCTTCCAGGCATGATAGTTTGAGCCTGTAATCCCAGCTACAGGCCATGCTGAGATGGGATGATTGCCTGAGGCCAGGAGTTCAAGACCAGCTTGGGCAAAATAGCAAGACCTCATCTTCAGTACATTTTTGACCAAACCATCATTATGCACCACCTGACTATATTCTCTTTATTATTGAAGATCAAGAACCTTTCCTATTTCACCTATATGAACTACCATTTACTCATTTCAAAACTTTATTTTTTTAAATTGACAAATAAAATTATATATTGACAAATATATATATTTATCATGTACATGTTGTTCTGAAATATTTTGTACATTGTGGAATGGCTAAATTGAGCTAATTAACACATGTATTACCTCACATACTTTTTTTGTAGTGAAAATACTTAAAATCCACTCTCTTAGCAATTTTCAAGAATGCAATACATTGTTATTAACTATAGTCACCGTGTAGAACAACAGATCTCTTGAACTTATTTCCTCCATCTAACTGAAATTTTGTAGCTGGGATTATATGATATCAAAAGCAGATCAGGCAAACAGCAGTTTCTTGCTACCAGTTCCTGGTGCTGATGAACATTGGTGGCTGAGTTATAAGGGCAGGTCTGACTCCACACAGGATTTCTGTCAGGAACTGAAATTCCCTCTATTTTTTACTTACTGAAGCAGTGGTCTCTGCTCTCTACAACTCTAAGTCCAAAATGAGGGTAGCATATAGCCAGTAGATGGGAAGTCCTTGTGCTAATAGACAGATGGTGGAGTATCTATGCCAAAAGAATTCACCACTCACTAAACTCCAAAGAAAACACTCAAGTGCTAGGAAAAAAGATTCCTTCCTAGCATTTGGGTGGCCAGTATTCCTTCCACCAGCTGAATCCCATCTTAGTCAACAATTACATAGCAAACTAGAAACCTAAAGAACTTATTTGTCAGGGTTACTGCCACATTATTCTATTATGTAACACTAATCACTATGTGCCATAGTCCCAAGCTTGAGAAAATGGGGGGAAATGAATGCTAATATCATTATCTCGGTGTGATTCTGTGCTAATGTGGCAGGATAAAGGAGACCTCAAAAAGAGGTAAAAATAGCATTCTGCTTCCCACTATGTAAAATTACAACCATCCAAAGAATCCACGTGAACTATTTTTTTTTTTTTGAGACAGAGTCTCACTCTGTTGCCCAGGCTAGAGTACAGTGGTGTCAGCCTACCTCACAGCAACCTCAAACTCCTGGGCTCAAGCAATCCTTCTGCCTCAGCCTCCTGAGTAGCTGGGACTACAGGCATGCACCACCATGCCCGGCTAATTTTTTCTGTATATTTTTAGTTGGCAAATTAATTTCTATTTTTAGTAGAGACAGGTCTTGCTCTTGCTCAGGCTGGTTTTGAACTCCTGACCTTGAGTGATCCTCCTGCCTCAGCCTCCCAGAGTGCTAGGTTTACAGGCTTCAGCCACCTTGCCCAGCCTCAGGTGAACTATTTTTACTAAGTACCATAGAGATGCTTTAATATATTATGATGTTTTAAAATATAATATATGAAAACTATTAACATAGAACTTTAAATCCTTGAAACTTAAAAAGTAATATTTCTCATGGACTTTAGTCTTCATTCTTTCAAAGCAAGATCAGTTAAGTTTCTGTTTCACAAATTCTCCAACACTAACCTAGAGAGTTGAAAATGATGCATCTGATGATGGTACATCGGTCTTCCTAAAGACTGACAATCTCTATAAGATAGGTGGATCAATAGTCAAATAAGCTGTTAAATTTTACTATGCTAGAAGACTGACTACATATTTGCAAAACTATCTCAAATGATGAATGAAAGGACAGAAAATACAACTCAAGTTAAAGAAAAAAAAGCCAGAACCAACTTTCAAGCCTAAAAATATATTTCAGAAAACTTACTCAAAACACCAACTGACAGAAGAGATGTTTTTTGCATCTCTCTGAATCATTTTAGCCTCCAAAACTAGACATTAGACAGTATTAACAAAAGTGTGAATAGGTACAACTGAAGAAATGTCTTCTTAAAATTACATTTTATGTAAGCTTAGATATAGAAGCCCTTTGTCCACATTGAAAGCACTTGTGATGGCATCTAACTATCTTTAACACAGTAATAGAAGCATTTACTACTGTCTTGGGGTAATATAGTACAGTACCATGAGAGTAAGAAAAATGAATGGTTTCTGTTTTCCTATGATAAAATTCATACCCAAAAAGGATTGCCATGTTATCTGCAGCAAGGGTTGTG